TAAATCAATCACATGAATGCTGTTTAAATTTGCACATCCCCCTCTAATACATGTACCTCAACTCAATAAATAAACTGAAGATGATAAAAATTCATATTCTCCCATCTAATTACACACATCAAAGTCCACTGACTGCGTGCACATAAACATGTACATATAAACACCATTGGACCCTGACAGATTTAAACTTAGACAAAAAAAGATGAAAAAAAAAAATAAATAAAAATAAAAATGAAAGAAGTAAGGATAATACAAATTCGGTAACTTTTTAGTACAAAGTTAATCATTCTAAATGATGATCTTTTAAATACTAAATACAATTAATGATTTTCATTTAATTTTATGCATTATTATGAGCAAAATATTGAGTGCTGCTTCATATTATAAGCAAATATATCATAATGCTAAATTTTAACACAGGTAAGTTTAGAAACAATTAATCATCAATAGCAAACTGAGTGAAATAAAAGTTTTGTAGTCTTTCCCGATTAAAAAATCTTTCATATTTTTGTTAATGGAATATGTATATTTCATATCCATATTTTACGCCATGGAATTTCATTTTCAACAACTTTTATATTTAAGCAATGAAATATATCATAGCAAATCAAATTACAATGGCCAATTTTAAAAAGCAAACATATTAACTTAACTATAAATTTACAATAGCAATCCTTATCAACTTCAATACTTTTTTTTTTTAAATTTTGAAAAGATTTTTTTAAATTCACCTCCAGGTCACCGCAGCTGACGGTATTTAAGAAACAATCTGCAATATGTACGGCTCCATTACAATGCATGCAAATGGGTCCAGCATGAATATAACCTGTTAATTTAAGTGAAATTTAAGTCCAAACATACGCTACTTCTCATTATGATTTTGGAGCATTTCCTTCTTTTTTTCGTATGCAGAGACTTCCTTCAAAGTATCTTTAAAAACTTACCACAAAGGAGGATGCAAAACGAGGAAAGTACTTAAAAGAAAATAAAATATCATTTTTTTCAAATAATATTTTCATAAGTGAAGTACTGGGCAAGACATACGGTAGCTTATTCCAATGACGTGAATACTCACCTAATATTGCTCGCATGTCTACAAAGTAAATGTTAGCCTCATAGAGAAGGTTATAACAATTTAATTGTATTTCTGTCGTCTATCAATAACAACCTGTACGAAACACTATATGAATTATAAACAAGCTGCGGAGGAATATATCGCTATTGTGCTCGCATGTGATTCTGTCAGTTTTGTTTGTTTATTGTTTAACATCCGTCTCGAGAATTTTTCACTCATATGGAGACGCCACCACTTGCCGGTGGAGAGCTGTAAATTTTGACCTAGATACTCGGCACTCAGGGCCACTGAGCAGTTAGGGATCTTTTTTCGTGCCAGCACCTACTGCGACACGGGACATCAGTTTATACGGTCTCATCCAAAGGACCGCTCTCCACGTCCCACAGTGGGATTCGAACCCGCGACGTAAGGATCAACTTTTTACTCAGCGACTCTAAAGCGAACGCTCTAACCACTGCTCCACGCGGGCGACGATTGTGTCAGTGTGTATGGTTGTGTGAATGAACCCCTGTATTTGCTAATAGTTAGTGCGCATGCGTAAGATTGAACATTGCAAGATGCGTTCTCAATTGTAATACGAGTATAGTACGTCAAACCCAATTAAATTTCAAGATAACTGGTGAATTATTTCTAAGAATATCGGTCATAAACTCGAATTTCATGTTAAAGTTAACACTACAGAATAATAAAAAAACAAGTTTGCTTCTCGTGAAAGTGTCTATGGGGTTAGAGAAAACTTTGAGTAGTGATCCTAAATAATTCTAAAAGTATTATAGCAAGGGATGCTCTATTTGGCAGAGCTCTTGTTCAACATTATTCCTTGTAATTAAGGTTAATTAGCTTGCTGCATAAGAAATCTATAATGCTTGATCTGCCAATTTAAATTAAGACAAGAATTCTAGTTCTGGAATCTTATTTAAAAATGGAAGGATTTGGATCCCTTCAGCCTTTACAAAAGGTTGTTGTCTTTGAATGTTTATTATTCAAAAATAAACATGATTAAAGGATAAAAACAAAATACTAATCATTTTACTATTGCTCAAGAATTTGCTTAATTTGCAGATTAATTTAAAAAAAAAAACTCTACTTGTTAATCTATTAATCATGTTGCTACAAAGAAGGTGTTTTTTTTTTAAATTCCACAAAAAGCATAATAAATATGTAAATTTAACCCTAAAACAAACAATATTGAATCATGGTAAATATTGTTTATAAATAATCGATTTAAAAGTTAACACATCTATACTGAAGAATCCTCTATTCTTGTTACTGGTTGTATGGTACATGAATTTACATATTAAATAAACTGACCAGATAAACCCAGCTGATTTAGATTTCTGTAATTTGGTAATACCTACTTGTCATCATATTTCCACATTTAATTTTCAGTCGTCGACAATCTTTTATCTTTTGTGACAAATTTAAGACGTTCTGATCATGCCTTGTCGGCAGAGTTCAAAGTTTGAATGTTTATCTCATGCGAGTTATCATTTCCATCTTCGGAAAAAAAAGTTTCGTTTGAAATTGCATCATATTTTAAATTGACGCCTAAATCTCCTTTACGGCTTTTCTATCAATTGAAAGAAACGCATATATCTTAAAGTATGTGGTAGAGAAAATCCCTGATACCTCTGGTGAGATCATAAAATGAAGTGACATGTAATAGCTTTAAAATAAATATGCATTATATACTATATCATCAGCGATATCCAGTAAACAATGTAAACAAATCAGTTCTTTAAATCAGTTTATTACAGATAGCAAGAAAAAAAAGTAGTAATATCATTATAAATGTTTGCAAGCTTTTTTTCAGAATCTAGGCAAAGCGACTATAGACGTATCATTTTCATCAAATCTTATATTTGCTAGTACAGAAGATATTAAAAAAATGTAAGTTTGTAAGCTTGTAAAATATAAGTAATCACACATAACCATAAAAGGATCTGGCTGCATTACCTAATTAATTACACTCAGTTGATATGACTTCTTTCCATTAAAATTCCTCAAAATTTGATGGTTAAATTTATGTTTAAATGTTAGGTCCTTGCTTAGCGCAAAATATTGGGTCAAAAATGCTTTTCACTTAAATTTATTATTACTGCAATTTACCAAAAATTATTGTCAACAGTAAAAATATCTACATTATTTAAAAAGTCTTGTATACATCTTTAGAGACAGTGCATTTCATAAAAAATGGTCCAGCACCCATCAATCCTGGTGTAATGTATCTTGTAAAGAACATTTTTTTTTTTCAAAATTACCCCAGTGATTAAAAAATATTGATTATACAGATTCATATAGATTAAAAATGTAATAAAAACAACTTAAATGTAGCAATTGTTTGATTTTGAAACCAAGAAATCAAAGAGGTGCATACACCATTTACACTTCACGTTTTAAGACAGTTTTGAACATACTACATTTAAATTTGGAAAGTGAATATTCCTAACGTTAACTATAAAAGTTTTAAAATTAAAACTACTTGCTTAAAATAAAAATATTGGGACTAGCTTTATAGACTTGGTAGGAACACTAATTCAAACCAAATGAAAGATCCAATTTCCTGCTTCTCTATTTAGAGGTAAATTTCGCGATTGTAGGGCGTTACTTCTTTTTTCGTTGTATTGTGGGCATTGATGCGCAGTACTGCTTGCTTATTTCTTCTAAGAGTCTGCCATCCTGCTTATTTGGATGTTTATATGTTACTTTCATATTTGTAGAGAATATCTGGGTATCTGGGATAGTTCCCCCTTGCAATGGCAAGAACCCCTGTTCTCATATACACGTTATTATTAATTGTGTAGTGAAAAATACTTTTTCGTAAAAAGATAACGTCACATAAGTCTATTATATAATTTAACAAAATTGAGGTAAATAATTAAAATAAAATATATTTTGTTTTAATCAGAATTTCTCTTAAATTTTTAAGTTAAAAGTATTATACAATCAATTTTAAAACCGAGGGAGACCACTGAAAAATAATTTGATGTTTCGCTTATTTCATTAACATCGTTTATCAAAGTCAGAATTTCCAAATTCTATCATCGTTATAACGACCCTGTTTTTAAATACAGTCTATCATTGGGTCGTTTTATGTTTGACATGTTTCATGCTAATTCTTAAGTCACGGTTTTATACTTTTGACTACGGATTACACTGTCTACCTGATCAATCTTGAATGCAGTATTGTTCACGTACATTCATTTTGATGTTGTTATTCCATGGTAGAATGAAGAAACCCTTTTGATTGCTGCAGAAGTGTAGCGTTATGGTTTTATATTTTAGTCTTTAACCAGAACGCTCAGATCCCATGATGCAAATATGAAAAAAATGCAGAAAATCTTGCGCCGGTTGGGAATGTATTTCTCCACTTTCCAGCATTGGTCAATCAACTACCTTTCATTCCCTAATTCTAGACATATTCTATGACCAACCTGTATATTTTATCCACCTCCTAGCCATTTATAGTTCTCTACAGACCAATCAACTCGCTTTTTTGTTGGATGGAAGAAAATTCAAAACAAGCGAGTACACTGATCTGTAGAGACGTCTATAAAGGATTATTTGGTTGATAAAATATACAGGTTGTTCAAAGAATGTGGAATCTCGACTTAACTTCATTAAATGTAAAGATATTACGTAAAATATACTACCTATCTATCGTTTCTGTCTATCCAATACTTTAATAAATAGGGAGCGACTCCATTTTGAAAAAAAATTAACATCCTGTGATGTACATTCGAAGTGTTTTTTTCGAGCTTGACGGATAGGCCTGAAAAGATGTGATTGTGTTTATATATTTAAAATCTTTATTGTACAAAACGAAAACGAGAACGTTAGAGTACGATAGCCAATTCTTATGCATTTCTGATATGGAAATTGAAGTAACATTAAGTTTTGTACAAACAATTCATATTATTTAAATACTAGTGTTTATTTCATTCCTTATTAAAAACATTGAAAACATGGTTTTCTTTTTAACCAATGGATGATCTAGATGGAGATGCAGAACCATTGCTAAAGTCACCAATCGTCATATCTGTCAAAAAAGCAAAAAGACATTTGAGCATTTACTGATGCAAAATATAATATTCATATTTTTGTATGAGCTGTAACTCGCCTTGGCAGCATAAATGTGGTGCTTACAATTTAAAAAAAAGCCCATAGAGTTCTAAAAAAAGACAAATAAAGCTTAACAAGGCATACCTATTTGATTGTAAGCACAATGACATTGGAGATCTTGATATCATACGTAAAGTTTAAAACATAGTAAGATGTGTGTTCATTTTCAAGTTTTCCGTTATGTTTACATATGAATATCTTTTACTGGAGACATTGTGCAATTGAGAAATAAATAAATAAATAAATCAGAATTGAAATAACAAGGGAAATACGCAAGATTTCATAAATTTTATGATGATTAGAATAGTTATGAAATGATTCTCTTAGCTTTCAATTTTAAATTAAACGCTTGCTTATTGAAACAAAAAATCGTTTCCCTTTTTTGTTTTTATTCTGCGCTCTATTTCAAGGGTTAAGAACACAAATAAATACAGTCATTGCCTTCGATACACTTAGGAGTATTACAATGTGGAGTTACATCCAACACACAAAAGTGTTAAAATTCCCTAAATGATTGTCATCACGATCCAAATTTTGTGAGGAGTACAAAAAATCAGAAAGACAATGACCTTTCTTAGTGGACAATGAAAGATAAAAAGACTTATCACGATATATCAACTTTTTTTAAGGCATTCTTTTAGTAATGGGGGATAATAGTAAAATCAGTGTTTGCAATTGTATCAAAATGAGGTATATTTCAACAACTACTTTTATATGTCTTCTATGATTTTTTATAAACAAGGGAAAACGGGAAAAAACCGATGCTATTTGTTTGATTTCAAGATATTTAAAGTTCTATGAATACTTGGGACTCCTAATGCCTAGATAAAAATCTCATTGTTATACAACTTACTCTTTCTGAGTTCAAAACAGTCTGCAGCGTTACATCTATTTCCTTTACAGCACGAATCACAGATAGGTGTACCTTGGTCACCGTGAATAACTCGACCAGATCGATGAATGGTCGAGTTTTTGCTGTCATTATCTAACATAGCACGACAGACCTAACAAAATAGATGGGAATACACAAACATAAATTGTATTTGGAGTCTTTGCATTAAAAATACGTATAAAAGGACGTGAATTTAAGAACAAGATTCTGAAATAATAAGATAACAGTTCCTTGGGTTTCCCTGCTTAACTAAGATGTTTTGCCAATATTAATTATCCATTAAACTCGTATTAAGAACACTTTTCTACAATTGTGGATTTCACTGAATGTTAAAAATCAATGTGATCTTCAGTGAAGAAAAAGAAATGAATTTTCTTTTCAAGAAATTTGGGTAAAAATCTTGAATTAAACTGTATATTTAAATACCTGGATCCATTTTTTTTTCTCAGATTGAAATCATTTTGAGAAACTATTTTTTTCAAATACAGAATGTTTTCGGTTGTAATCTACTCTGCATATATAATTGATAGAATTTTGGTAAAGATTGAAGCAAAGCAAGGGTTTTGGTACTATATTTAGCTTTCTTAAATATTGGCAAGTTTTTTAATCTTAGGCAGAACACTATACTACAAAGCCAAGTCAGTTCGATAGGAAAATAATATGAATTTGCTATGTACTGTCAATCTTATGTCTCTTTATATATAAGCTTTTAGTTCATAAAAAGCACCAATCTCCCTTGCAGAGTTGTCCTTCGTTTCTCTCTCAGACACCTCTGCGATGGACTCATGTCAAGATTTTTGACATAACGTAAAAACATGACATTCCAAGGATTGTTTCAAATTAAACAAATAGTTCTAGATATACTTAGTAAATATCTACCTTAAAAGAGAAACATTAGTGCAGGCATTTAATTATAATGAATTTAAACAAATGCACTATTTCTCGTGCTGATCACTGTGATATACGCGAGCCAATGATAGAGGTGAATGTATGAGCCGATGGTAGAGTGAAAAGGCACATGCATTTTTTTTCAAATTGTATTTCTACAAAGAAATTAAATTTCAAAGTTTATAAAGCCCGACCATTTCTGTATATAATATTGTTTACATTGATTTTTTTTTCGTTTTCCAAGCTATGAAAATTGTCATGTAGACCGATTGACAAGATGATCTAAATGATTACTTACCCATCCATATGAGAACAAGAATGATTGACGGAGACTGGGCACATAATAGTGTAGCCAAAAGCATTTGCGAGCAAGGTAAATTAATTTCTTACATTACCCCCTTCACGTTACCATTCGCATTGACTTACTTTTACTTCTAAATATAATTCACAAGGGCATCTTTCATCATAGAGGCTAAAGTAAGCGTTCAGATGAACAAAATATGTTTATGAATGTACAATGTAATTATGATTTAAACCTACGTACTTAGTTTAAATAACTTACACGTTCTTCATAGCAACCAAAAACATAACGAATATTTGCCCCAACGATACGAATTCCAGTAAAACAAACCTGCAAAAATAAATATTTAGCATGCAATTGTCAAAATAAATAATGCCAATCAATCTGCTTCTATTAATTAATTCAGTAAAGTTTAGAAAGTCGAGGCGAATCGCATGACTAATCCAGCTCTTTACATGTACTATTCTTTAAGGTTGTAACTATTATCAAGTAATCAAGTAAAAATAAGTGGGGAAAAGTGCATATTTGTTGAGGAGTAAAAGAAATATTTCTGTGGATATTAAAAATTAAGTAAGTTTTGTAGTATAAATTTTTCATGATTTTCAAGTAGAATTTTTTTCATTTTAATGATTCATATTCTTCATTATTATAAGGCGTTTTTGAATTGTCTTGATCTTTCATTAAAATATAGCTTGTTAATGAAGATGTCCAAAGAGTGAAACAGTGTTTATTAAAAATTGAAAAAGAACCATTTATCTTAATATCTATGAAAATTTTCTAAATCATAACCATGGTCAGACTACTGTTTATTGTTGTATTGACCATTGAATTCTTTATCAATTCAGAGTTTTCTTTGATATTTCCTAATTCCTTTTTTGGTCTTTGAATATGAACTTTTAGCTAGGAGTCTTTTAATAAAGTGTAAATGTATTTTGTTTCTCGTCATTATAGTACAAACGACTATATTGAAAATGTCATTCACTTCTTACCACAATTTATGCCTGACATAATATAATATTTCCATACTTTGGCAAGGATTGCGGTCAAGATAAGAAGAACATTATATCTCTAAACAGCTTTGAAATTTTCTCACACAGTTCACAATAAAACACGTCAATTTGCTCGATTTGCATTAACTAGATATTGAATTGAGCTTTAGCAAAGAAATTAAAAATAAAACAAATATGTCATCGTAAGCGCCATTTTCTCTCGTTAACATCCAGTACTCATAAATAAATAAAGAGTACAGAAAACCAAGAACACGATGAATATTCGTTGTGCATAATAATGATATGCTCAACTATGTGCGCATTAAAATTGTTCGTGTAATTTTCAGTTGCCTATTTGATTTTACGTGTGTGCAATTTATACCATGTTCATTAACCATGTAAATAAAATTATTTCGTGTATTTTACGTTATATTTGTGTAAAAATCTTTTAACTATATGTCTGTGCATTTAGATCAAGCTCGTGTATACAATCGGCATATCGGAGGTCTTGAATACCTTATCCATAATGATTGATTGATGATTTTATTTTATTTTACGTTCCATTCGAGAATTTTTCACTCATATAGAGACGTAACCATATACTAGTGAAGGGCTTCAAATTTAGACCTTTACTCGACACTCAGGGCTTAGGGTCATTTAGCAGTGAGGAATCTTTATCGTGCCAACGCTTGCCGTGATACGGGGTCTCGGTTTTTAAGGTCTCATCCGAAGGACCCGCAACTTTCACTTCAAAGTGCTGAGGGCTTGGCGAAAGAACAGTTGCTTCCTATTTTTTTTTTTACCGACTTAGGTCAGTCGCGGCAGGGGTTCGAACCCATGACCCTCCGATCAAGGAGAGAGCGCTCTACCGACTAAGCTACCGTGACGGTCTCATCTCCATTATGACATAATTGTATTTTGATGGATGCGTTCCAATTCCACGAATACGCGTATGCCTCTTTTCATTCCTTCAAGGCATTATTTATAGAATGATGAATTTGAATTGATTAAAAGTTTTTTCTTAATTATATAGTTTCAGGGAAACATTTTTTTTTTACTGATATTTAGCATATTAAATGACTTGTTTATAAAAGGTCAACAAACGACATGCATATGCTTGCTAAGCGTTCAAAACTTGGTGTATTTCTTTCAAACACACTGTCTAAAATAAAATTTGCTGAACCTTCTGAGATGTATACTTACTTTTTCTTCGGGAGTTTGTACTTAATTTCATAATAACACAACATGGAAATAATAACACATATCTGGAATTGTGTTTTACTTTTTTTTTTTTTTTTTTTTTTACAGTTGTAGTTAATAAGAACAGAGGAATGTGGCAGGAAGGATATAACTTTATACAGCTCTTTAAGCTTTCATTGATTTAATTTTATTCTTGAATTTTTTTTCACTCACCTCGTTTGGAGGACAGGTAGCTACGGAAGTACATGATTGAGCGTCAGCGTGTACTCCACTACAGACCACACAAGTGGCTTGCAATTGCGGAGGGGCTTTGATAACAAAGAGATTGTATTAAAAATATATGAAGCAATATTAATACATACACTGAAAGTAAAATTAAAAAAAAGATATTCTAGGAATGTTGTTCACCAATTCTTTGTGCAATATTTGTGAGTTATGGACTTTGGTATAGGTCGATTTGTGCTTTTAAGGACCCATGTCAAGTAATATTGACCGAAGACATAGAAAGTGATAAAGACCAAACTTTCGAATTTGATATCACTTTCTATGTCTGGGGTCAATATTGCTCAACAAGGGTCCTTATAACAAAATTTTGACCTAAGATTAAGTCTATTAAAGTAATATCATATAATCACTTCAAACTTATTAGACACTGTCTTAAATGTGAAGTCGTCGGTATATCTCCGTAGAATTTTTTTTATTCCCGTAAAGATTGACTGTTGGGTTTAATAAATGAAATAAAATGATTTTGAAACTATAATAATCTACTCACTAAGATCGCACAGTTTTGCGTTGCATGGACCGTTATCGTCTGGTACATCTGTACAACATTTAGCACAATTCACTAGCCGTTTTCTTCCAGTAGTACCACTCATCATCCTCATTATTTCACACACCTTAATGGAAAATTACTTTATTTAATTTTAGTTAAAATAACTGATTTGAACTGCTACAGATTCATATATGTAAGTAAATGTACCTCAAGAATGCAGAACTAATTGTAGTGACGTGTACAAACTTATTTTACTGTAGCCTTTCATGATTCCAAAGTTCAAATATCGAAATTTCAATAAATTCCAGCTTCTTTCCTTCGTGTAAATTTAAACGATGGTTAACTATTTTATTGATCATCTTCAGAAGTAGAAGTCATGGGAAACTATTGATAATTCTTTTGAAAACGTTGATTGAAAAAAAAAATCCATCATATCCTGATGTTGAGCAAGATTAATTCACTTTTTGGTATTTGAATTTCCTTACAATCCCTTAACATCTTTTTGAAATATCGGAAAGACATGCAAACAGTCATACATTTACAAAAGTAAAATATCAATAAATTAAGTACGAGGGGTGATCAAAAAGTTCGCGAACTATCTCTATATTTAAAAAATCACAATTCAGATCAGAATGAAATTTGGCACACATATAGTCAAACACATGTTCTATAAATAGCAGATGTTAAATAATGTTTTGCTCCGTGTTTATGACGTCACAATGTTAAAATGACGTCAGTATGTAGGTCACTTGTGACAAAAAATGGTTGACTCGGTCGTACTCGAGCAATGAACGGCTGTAAAGTTTAACGTATATCTCGGAAATTCCTTTGTGGTAGAATATGATAATTTGTACAAGGTTTATGAAGACAAAATACTTACCAGAAGTTCAATTATTAATTGGATCAAATGTTTTAGTGAAGGCAGGGAGATGATTAAAAATTATGTTTATTCTGTTGCCTAGCAAAAGCAAGCCGGTTAAAAGATGTGTCCTTAAATGAGCATTTTGTTTTGAAAGGTCGCCAAGTTACAGTAAGAAAAATAGTTGAATATCTGAGCAATAATATAATTATCAAATCCCTAAAATATCGTTTACTTTAGACTTTAAACAAATGAGATATGAAAAAAAGAAGGCGCCCATACATTTTTCACATTGGATAAACGACGCTCCCGAGACAGAGAACTCGGGTTGTGATGGCCACCATGCTAATTCTGGTAAGGGATATCCTTATTCACCCATCCTATTGCCGAGATTTGGCCATTTCTGACAGATGGTCTGTGCTTGTTATAAAAGATTACTTGCATGGTAAGAAATATAAGACTCGGAAAAATCTCTCAGCTTCTGTGAACAGATCGCTACGAAGCATGTCACGTGACCGCCTGATCACGTGATTCGTGCATGGGCAGAACAATGTCAGATGTGCATTAAAATCGCAGAGGACCACTTTAAAAAATAATGAACACTGAAACCTCATTTTATATCTTTTAAGGAAGTAATTCAATTAATTCGCGAACTTTTTGATCACCCATCGTATGGACATATTGTTACGTCCTCCAACGAAGTTAGATAGAGTATCTTTTTCCACACATTATTGTATGTTTTGGTCTACAAGTTCAATTGATTTTACGCACTAATTTTGCTCTATGACGAAATGTTGAAAAAGGGTGTTGCAGAAACTCGCGATTATTCCCTAAAGAAGGACATTTAAATACCCACGACGCATGAAGAGTTATCTCTAAATATAGATAATGGTACGTAGATGACATTTTTTATACGGCGGGTATGTCCAGCTTGTTATAACAAAACATTTCATATTTTACGTTTATTTCATGCATAATTTTTCCTGTCTTGTTGATTTATCCGACTTAAAATAAATATTATCCTATCCTATAGACTGGCGACTTGATAGTAAACTTCTTTTCACATCTATGGTCATTGTCGCCATATTGCACGAGAAAAGTTAGAACGATAAAAAGCACAATTAATGAAGTGCATCTCGCACTTCATTTTGAGTGATGTGCTGTAGACACCATTCGTTAATATTTTTTAATATATATATAAATGTGTCCAATAATCACGCTGTTGATGCAATATCCAAAAAATTCCATTGAGTCATTTCAGTTTAGTTGTTTCAAGTCAAATCCGAGCAACTAATTAACAGAACATTAATGAAACGAAATGAGTATGAAAAAATTCAATTATTTAAAATGATAGTACTTTATTTTTTAAGACATCGCCACTAAATGTAGTCTTATTTGTTTTAGATCACAATATCAAGGAAAACAACTTAATTCTGCATGCATTTAAAATATAACCCATCAACTTTCTGACATTCTCTCCCCCTCTCTTTCCCTCTCAAGAGAGTTGTTACATTGTACTTCCATTATTTAAGAAAAAAATATATGTATATACCAGCCATTCCAGAATTCGAACCCATCCCCAGGTAAAAGAATCTGCACAAAGAGTCCACACGCTTTACCCCTAGACCAGCTCCGACACTGACGTATCCTGTGCTATTTTATGTGCACATTTTCCATTTCGGATGGATAATAATTTTTATTCGATTTTTGTGATTTTCAAAAATATGCCTCTTTGAAACAAAAATCGGAAATGGCAGTTCTGAAGAAAAGTCCTGTCTCTTTATGCTTATATCAAATTCATTCTGTTTCAAGGAGGCAATTTTTCAGAACAATGGGGATTCCCTATTTGAAAATCAGAAAACTTGACTTATTTTGCTATGTGGCTAATTTACACTTCATTTAATGGCAAATTGGTAGTCGATATGCAGTTTCTTAATATTGTTCTACATTGTGCTGTATATAATGTTGTATTTGAAAAAAAATAAGACAGTTTTCTGTTACTTGAAATTTTTCTTTTAAACTGCTACAACTTTAGGGAAGATAACAAAAGAACTGCAACACCCTCTTTTGTGTTCGGATGTTAAGGATATGGATTAGGATAGTCATTCGCTATGATAAATTGATAAACATGCTTCTAGATGAGTCTTTTCATTGTGTGCATGCGCCAAAGTAATTTTTTATCGAGCCACTGTAGAATATTTAGCGTCACAATAATTAATTGAACCACAACGAGATCCGCACAGATCAGGAAAATAAATTCTCTCTAACTGAACCCAAAAATAAAGGAAAATATATTGTTTTGTTTCCAATGCTAAATAGTTAATAACAGCTAAGTTTGGTCTAAAAATATGGCTTGAATGATCAATAATCTTGACCCTTGCTGGATTTTACGCATGGATTAACATGGACAAAACGTTTGTTTTCTCAATTCCATATGATTGCTCATGGGACGTTTGTTTTCTCAATTCCATATGAGTGCTCATGGAATTTTTCATAACCATTTATTTATCATCTTTTTCACCTTTAGAACCACGATCCAAATTTTTTGGCACTGTGAGCTGATTGTCATACCATAATGATGTATTGTTGTAATGTTTAAAAGTTAAAGACAAATCCCTTATAAACAACACTTTAAGATTCTGAGGTGGTTTTGTTTTAATTCAAAATACATAATTGTATGTGTGGTTCAGGGTTAATTGTTCTTTCTTTTATATTATACATGCATTACTTTCTTTTACACTATGATTGATCATTTTTAGTATTATAATTTATCTTCAATTCGCGAAATTAGTGATTAAAATTAGTTATGCTTTCCCCATTTTTAAATAAAGGGAAATTTACTCCATCGTAAATTTGGTTCCGAAAGGACCGCGAATCTTAATGTTTTTTATACACTCTGTGGAACAATAAAACTTCAAATGATTGAGAACTCTTAGTAAAGGTCAATCACAGGACATAAACTTAACAAGAGATGTTTGTGAAACACTTATAACCCTCCCCCCCCCCCAAAATAACTGGATTTTTTTTAAGTCCAAGGGGCATACCACTTTCAAAAATTGCTCGATCGTATCCAAAACAGGTCTTGACCTAGATATTCTTATGATAAATCTGTATACCAAATTTCATTTCAGTATGTGCAACCTCTGCAAAGAAAATGAACGGAAACTGCAACTTTTCTAAGTCCAAGAGGCATAACTTTGTCAAAAATCGCTCGATCGTACCCAAAACACAACTTGACCTAGATATTCTCATGATAAATCTATACACCAAATTTTATTTCAGTATATGCAAACTCTGCAAAGAAAATGAAAGGAAACTGTTGATGGACCGACCGACGGACAGACAGACAGCTGCAAAGCAATATGCCCTCCATTCTTCGAAGGAGGCATAATTATTATATCATCGGAATATATTATTAGAAGAGATGCTGTTGATGTTAAAGTCTCTAAAAAGTTGCAGTGTAAGGATAAACAAATTTATTAATTGTTGGAGCCTATCATTATAAAATACTAATAATTTAAAGAATTGTGTTGACTTAATTATGTGACTAAATTTCTTCTTATAGAAAACTTCACCTTTATTACCCACAAAATCCACGAATATTGAACCCCCATAAATTACAATGATTTCATTGTAATCTTACTTTTATTAATAAAAACTTCAAAATTGTGTAAAATGAGTGTTTTCGATAAAATTATAAAAAAAATTGACATTAAGCTAAATATAAAAACACCTACGCTGATTTTTGCCTTTAATCAAATTTGAAATTGACACAACAGCAGACGGAAGTGGGCGATCAAACTAAACAATATAAACCTTGTTTCCCTACAGAGAAGGTCATATATTGGTTTAACGTTTTGGTATATACTAACCGCATGTGAACGGCATCCCGAATTATACCTGATGCTAAGGTCTTCTCCTGTACTTTTCTCCAAATAACATTCCTACAAGGAATAAATACGTCATGGTGAACATTATCTTAATTTTTTTTTTCTTTTCGTTTTCTCTTTCAAAGAAGACGTCAACAATTTTTACAAGGAAAGACTCATTTTAAATCATGGCTCTGATGTTGTTGAAAGTACATCTCCGGTGCAGAAGGCCTGTTTTCATCTTGAAATACCATTGAACTATCCTTATATGCAGGCTTGGTCATACAAAAAAAGGTTCAGCATATATTGTAATACCTCCGCGGTAAAATTCATGATAGGATTTCATAATTATTAGGCTTTCATAACATTGATGCTCCTTTGAATCTTACCTCATTGTCACCACAAACAGCCAAATTTGTAAAACAATCTGTTATATCTGCAGCATCAGTACATCGCATACAGGTTGGTCCAGCACGAATCAATCCTAACAAAAATGATAAAATAAAACAAAGTTTCATATTCATGGTCCAAACCTTTTTGACCATGCAGATTTCTATACGTTTGAAAGGGTAATCAATATAATGTAAATGTAGCAATGGTTTTATTCTTAAAGGACTGAATAATATATAAAATGTACTTTATCCTCAACAAGGTATATTGATTCATTCTGTAATCTGTAAGAATTTGTTTAAATATACTTTGTAAACTAAACAATCAATACATAAACAATATCATAAGATACTATATATTTTTAGGTTTATTTACCATATACGGATATGCTGATGAATACAACTGAAAGAAAAATGATCAAGATGGATAATAATTCAATGAAATTCTATTCTGTTTTATATGGGGATTAACGGCTGCAAAATTGCAGATAGCGCGCAATCGGGTTACGTTATCTTTTATCTGTAATGATTGCTACCGTTAATCCTGTTATTACTTAACAAGGAGAGATATAGAGGATATTCAATATTTTGTAGTTGGATATGAAATCTATTTCACGAGTGGGACAGGATTTTTTAAAATAATTTTACGAGTGCGAAGCATGAGTGAAAATATTAAAAAATTCTGTCTCACGAGTGAAATAAATTCCATATCCAACTACAAACATTGAATTTTCTGTTTATTGCATTTTCTTTGATTTTCCTTTTGCCTCTGTCTTTTCTTAGCACAGTTTCATAGTCTGTGACGTCATGGTTGAGCAGTTGAGACGTCATAGCTTAGCAGTTGTTTGAGATTGTTACATTGTAACATGGATTTTAGTAACATATAGTGGAAGAAATCGGAAGTTTGAAATTTAGTCTCTATCAAGATGGTTTGGTTACTCTATCTAATTACAGGCCAGATTTTTTTTACTTCTTTTGATATCCTTTCGCACTGTGACAGAATATCATTTTGGTATCCTTTCATACAATGAGAAAATATCATTTGTATTCAATAAATATATTTCACTGTTGTAAACATAATAAAATTTGTTACTTTTATTTATAAATTGTATCTGTGGTAATTATTCATGTAAAGTTGATAAAGTACATGTACTATTACTTTTCATTATTGAAAAAGCAATTAAAAAGTTGACGTATGACACTTCTTAAAAGACATTTTATACAGATGACCAAAAAAAAAAAAAAAAAAAACAAAAAACAAAAAACAAAAAAAAAACAAAAAAAACAAAAACAAAAACAAAAACAAAACAAAACAAAACAAAAACAAACAAAAACAAAAACAAACAAACCAAACCAAAAAAAAAAGAACAAAACAAAGAAAAACAAAATAAATCAAAAAAACCAATTCAAAGCAAAAAACAAAAAAACAAAAACAAAACAAAAAAAAAAACAAAAAACAAAAAACAAAACAAACAAAAAAAAAAAAAAAAAAAAAAAACCAGAAAACAAAACAAAAACAAAACAAAGCAAAGCAAAAAAAAAAAGTTCTATATCTAATTTACTCTGAAAAAGAGTTTGTTTATTGATTTGTAGTCAGGAATTGGATTTTTTTAAAAGAAAATAAAGGGGATCATATTCAGTGGACGTAAATTTATAGAGAAAATAGATCAAAATATGAACTTGACATCACAAAATTTATATTTAATTATAAAAAGTACTCACATAGTAATGTTGTTTTCATGCCTTTAATAAAAGGTTGATAAAAATATTTGATCATGTTTATCGAACATCACTCCTAATGTAAACTATGAAAGTAACATTCGTATGTTTGTTTTAAAATACCAAGAGAACCATGGGCCACAGCGCTCACCTGAGACAATTTAGCTTATTGCCCTTCATAGTACTTTGGGAAAAAATATTATTATATTTATATATCACAAGGGCAATTATTTCAACAAATATGCATTAGGATGTTTGCACATTATACGAGAAAATGTTGCATTGTCATTTTGAAAAGATGATCGCACAAAACTAACAAATCTTTAAAATACCACAAAATGCAATTATCTGCGATTTTAAACTGTAAAAGAGCATTAAATTACATCAAAACGTACTATAACACGTTGTCGTTAGTTAAATCCCACATATGTCACTGCTCGTGATGCACTTGTCGATGTGATGTCCTTTCGTAAAACTTGACGCAGTTTGTATGCAGTGAGAAGTGAATCAAGTTATATTTTCATAACGAAAAATGTATTTTATAGTAAAAAAAAAATATTTGTAGATATTTTAGAAGCCATTAACTTGGATGCAATGTCTTTTTTATGGTTTTATTCAAATATTTTCCGTACACTTCCTAGTTAACTAATACTGTCGTATATTTGTATGCAGGTACATTGGACAGGAGGGTTATGTAAGGGTCTACATACATCGTTCTAGTGCAAGGGCATACACTCAATGGATCACATGAATCTTTCATGCATACATTCTAGAAATATTAAGCTATTTGAAAGTGCTGCGATCCTTGTGAAATCTTGAAAGGGAATTAATTATTTCTATATTTCATGCAGTTGACCAGTAAAACATTCAGCATTCAGTCATACTAATATAATTTTAAAAATGCAAAGGTATAATCTATATAGGATCGCAGCAATTTTCATAAACCCCATTGGGTGTTGAAAATTTTTATAAACTTAACTTAGAATTTTAAGTTGGTTAAAATGACAAGTGTATATAGAAAATCGAATCGTCCTCACAATATAGTTAATTAACATAAAATCATATATACGATATAAATAAAGTACTAAAAAGAATCCCCATCCTGATTAATATAATATCAAGAAAGTATTTTTATCACCAAAATATATATTCATTAAGCACCTTAACTGTACTGCGTTGTTCTGTAACAGTTGTTCTTGAGAAGATTTAAATGATGGTGCCAAGTTTTCACTGTTTCTTAATTATCTCCTGATGGAGAAAAACATTCATTAAAAACGAATCCCCGTTATCAAATACTGCTTTATGACAAATTTGGTTAAATTAGTTCAGTGGTACTGGAGAAAAATGAGAAAAAGTGAAAATTTTACAGACAACACACAGACAAATAGACAGACGAACACTGGACAGTATTTGATCAGAAATGCATAAAGAAAGAATGAAATATTCTTGCAATAATGAAACAATTTAATTCTGAGAATTAAAGGTACTTACTTACCTTTCACTCACCTATCAATTTATCTTAACTCTATGCCAGTAAGAATGTCTCTTTATACCTAAAGCCCACATTCTGTGCATTATGACCTGCGCATGATAGCAGACTTAAAGGTTATCTCTTATGCGGAAAAGATCTCTCTCATCGAACTTTTCCTTAACGTCGACATAACGAAATAATGATTTACTGATTTTGAAAATGCCCCATAAAACAAATATAGCTTTTTCAAAAGAGCTTTGCCGTCTTTAGCAACAACCTTAAACTGTAAACTGACATACACCTATAAGACCGTATTATTTTTTGAGTACTGTAGGTCTTGGCTGTGTACTTCTTCAACAGCTTTTTACAGACATTAGCCCTACCATATTAACAAAAGAAAAAAGAATAAACACGCATTTCAATGTTTGCATGCGCAAAAAGTTCTTTCTGTTAATCATGAAATTATTGAAAAACTTCATAATAATTGTTATAAAAAATAAAAGTGTCAGTTTCATTTACTGCAACTTTCTTTTGTTAAATCGTTTTGTCGATTTTTTTAAGATTGAAAAATTGTTAAGAGGCAGTCTACGAGAAAACCATGCAGAGAGCTATTCATGTTAGGTTCTCAATTTCACAACCCATTATCATATTTATTCATTTCAATGTATTGTAAGACTTTTCTGCAAATTTGGTCAAATTCTGGTAATTAGCACAGTGTACATGAGCGCCATCTATGTTTGTCATTGGCAAATTGCTATAATGTTATAAAACACATGAAAAAATACCAGTTTCCTTTATAGCTTTACTTCATAATAAACAAATTTCAGGGAAAATATATGGGATATTTGTACATATATGAACAGTGTTAATCATTTCCATTATAAAAATTCTAAATTTATTAAACTTTTAATGAGAGACAACTCTAACAATCTCATGATGTTCTAAAAATAGATTTTTCTTGCCTTAATTCTAAGAGCCATAATACCTGATACACAGTTGAGAGAGAAATTTCTTTTTGTTCCTTAAAAGGTCATTACATAGTGTTTCTATCAGAAATTGGAATTTGTCGGATAATAAAATATAACGAAGTTATGATGAAAACAAACTTACACCATTTTTTAAAATCAACAAGGCCAATTTTAGCCCATATTGGACCTAGTTCTTTTATTTTACAAATCTAAATATTTGCTACATATTTTGTAAAATGAACATAATAATCTACACTTAGTATAAAAATATCAATTTTGCCTCAATTACGACATTCTGCAAAGATTATACCATTCATACATTTATTTTCAAACCTCATAGGGGTGGGAGGGAGTTTTTTCCCATTATAACATAATGTAGACATCTGTATTTACATGTACCTCACACAATATCTTCAGGAAGTAGAGTTCAAGGAGAGAAGGAGAGTATGATAAAATAATGAGCTCCATAGGCATGTATGTTATGGGGAAATTTGGGTTGAAGTCTACTTATGAGACCAATAATCCTTTGAGGTGCATAGCAACATGGTGGCTAAAGCATAGCAACAATTTACTTGCTAAAAATTTAAAACAAGAATAAGTACAAGTTCCTTACCATAAAACTACTAGTATTGTTTGCATCCTCAAAGACAACATGACTTTATATGTGAATGGATTGACTTAACCACCATGTTATAAATTCAAGTAATACTATATGTAATATGACTGTACATCTATGAAATCTGTAAAGAGAGCTTTATAAAGAGAAAAAAAAAATACATTCAAAATTCTACACTAAAATTCTGCAAAGTTATTTTACCCCAGTACATGTACCATGTTTCTGAAGAAATAAAATATCCAGAAAAATGTACTTTCATTCTTTTGAAAAAATTACAGTATATCAATGAAATAACATCTCAACAAAATGATATATTTTGTGGAAACCCTAGAAGTTCATCCCAACAAAAATGAATGTAATG